TGTGTTTGATTGCATTGTAAATAAATTTGTACTGGTGCAAAACCATGGCAATGCAAATGCTTTGAGTGTAAATTCAGACCTATTTTTGTTTCAAATGTTAACTTATTTTGATTGGTTTCAGTATAAATGAAGTAAATTAAGACTTGAAGCAGAATAAAGTAAAATCCAAAACAAAATTAAATGAGGACTTGCATTTTTTACATTTGCACTCCCATACATTTGTATTAATGCAAATAAAATTGCACTACAACTAAACACAACTTGTATTAATCCAAAACAAAAAAAAAATATGCAAATAAAAAATTGCATTTTTTATCGACAACAAAGCATCAACATGCAGTAATACAAACACACAAATTCAAGGCACATCAAGTATGAAATAAGGCCCTTTAGAAGTTAGATATAACAAGCTTGATCAGAGGACAGAACTAAAATATGCACAGATGATCTTGACAATGGGGTGAAGTAGCAGCAAAAGGAGAGAAATCATTTAATTTGATGGGGAATGATATAAGAATGGCATCAGAGGACTGTACGTACGAGAACAAGAAGGAGAAGGATGACGAAGACTATGAGGTTGAAGGTAAGAAAAGGAAGAGTTTGGAAACAAAACATTTTTCTATAACAAGAGGAGAGAAATCAACCTCATTGAGTGGCTTTAGGTCTTGTTCTTCTTCTTCTTCTGGGATAATATAAAGCCATCGGTGATGATGATTTTTTTTTCATCAAAGAATGTTTGGGATGAAGCATAAAAAAAGGAAAACAGTAAATCTACTTCTTTCTGTTTTTGTCAGGCAGCAGAGTAGAGAGGGGTAGAATTGATATTTTAAATTATGCTATACAATAAAATGGTATTTTCGTAATTTTAATGTCACCATTAATACAAAAGTAATCAACTAACCGAAGGGAGATATTTGCACTTTTTTTTTCTCAAACATTAGGGAGATTCTTCTTATGATCAAAATAGGGGAAAGGGAAGGTTTTTATATCTATCTATCTATCTACCTATATAATGATAATATGGTATCACAGCATAAGAAAGCAAGGGTGCACTTGGTCTATAAGACTATAACCATGCAGATTCACAATAATGTTCACTCCATTGCTTCGATGAGATGGAGGGCACCCCACAGCACATCCCAACCATGTATTGGGAACATCTCTCCTATTTTCCATTGGGAAATGTTCCCAATACACAATTGGGATGTGCTGTGGCTCACTTGTGGGGCATAGATGTGGATTCCTGCTTCCACAAAGCCCTCATTATCAACCTCTCCTATGCCTATCACTTTATTGGGCAACTAATATTCACCATTAGTTTTGATGGATCAAACTAAATCCTTTGGCAGTTCTAGGTTGAAAATGCACAAATTATCCTAACGTACTGGCTATGTTTGTGGACTTTTTTCTTTATCCATTGAAAATCATTGCTACACAAGAAAACGAGATTAACCCAATATATACTAGGGATATTATCTAAAACTCATCATGACTTTTTTCATATTTCTCTTAAATTCATCATGATTTTTTAAGACCTCTAGATAGCCCATTGTCAGTGAGTTTTATTGTCTAAAATTCACCTTCCATTAGATTTCCCATAAATTCTATACATTGGTGCTGATTATTAACTGAGGTTGTCCACATAAGCACTTAACTATTTTACATAACTAAACTACCCTTAAATGGACAATTAAACTTGTTAAATATTTTTCATGACAAAATTACACTTGACTTGAAGCACCTAGCCTACAAAATTTAGTATATATATCCACATAGGCCTAGGCTGGTTCAAAGTCTGGCTATGGCTCAACCCACCCAACCCATGATCACCCCTAAGTTCAACAGTCCCATCTTAATTAAATAAAGGAATACATATATCTAATTAGTATAGTAGTTAGGGATAATTTTGTCATAAAAACATTTAATAAGGTTGACTAGTCATTCATAATTAGTTTGGTAATGTAAAATACTTAAATACTTACGCGGACAACTTCCATTAGTGACCACTAGTGGTCCCTAACAGTGATCTAATGGAAACCTGAACAGAAGGTGAGTCAAAATTCACCGATAAGGGCCTTTTAGAGGGTTTAAAAAGTCATGGTGAATTTAAGAAAAATGCTAAAAAGTTATGATGAATTTTAGATAATAACCCAATATACTGCTTTTGGTAAACAAGATCTTCCATGGTTGAGTTGGTTGTTAGCTCCGCTGATTAAATTTGTCAAGTTTGGACAAGATCTACAAGTCATCAAGTTTGGACAACTTTGTAGCAGATTTTCTCTTTTACCTCTCGAGGTGTTAGTCTAAGACATGATCTTGCACTACTCCGCAAAGGAGATAAGTCTATTGTGGTTTATTTTCAAGAGATCAAAGTTTTGGCAGACAAATTGATGCCTAGATTTTAAATATCAACACGATAATACACCCAATATAGGGTGTATCATATTGATATTGTTGGCGGTTTTTTGCTACCTCCTGTTGTGTAGCCCATTACCCAAAAGAAAAATAAAACACATCATAAAGAATGGTTTCTTTTGAAGGATTAGAATATCAATATGGTAGCATTGCTTATCGATCGATATGATCTTACTTTTTTATTTAAAGTTTTAGAAGGATGAGATATCATATTTTCAAATGTTTTAAATATTGATGTATTGGCATATTCGTACATATTTGGGTGCACTAATATGGAAACAATACGGGATATATTGTATTAATGTTTTAACCCTTGGTCTTAAGTAAGATTTTTCATGCATGATCTAAGCAAGATTTGCCCCCAAARCCCAAATCAATGGCATTTTTATTTGGGGCATAGTTTTGAAAACCAGACCAACTAGATGGTAAAACCATTTGACCCCAGAACTGGTGGTTCAAATCAAATCAAACTGGATTGGCGGTTTGAGTGTTAATAGAATTGACCTTAGTATATATAGTTTTAAACAAAATTGACATGCCAATTACAATGATCCATGGTGATTTAAAGGAGTTCACATTTGCACCCCACAAGGGGGTGTCCATAACGTTCCAAAGTACATCCCTGTAATGTATTGGGAACATCTCCCGATGATAGTACCAAAAATGATGATGTCATCATCGAGAGATGTTTCTAATACACGGCCAGAATGTGCTGTGGGACATTGTGAAGCACCCCTTGTGGAGATTGGGGCGCAGATCTGAATTCGAGTAAAAGACTATATTTGTTATTTATATAGGCATATATATGTTGTGTTGGCTTTTTAATTGGACCTAACATTAAACATCATATTTCTCATGCATTCTCGTTTTATACCAACCAAAAGCGCCCATTAGCTCTTAGCAATCCACCAACCAAATAGATTAACATATTACGAGCTATCCCACTTTCACTTATTCATGGTACATGGTGGATGGATGGTAAGTGATGAGGAGTGATTCGACCCTCTAGTGACATTACAACACGTGGTTTTACAAATCTGATGGGCAACAATTCAACTCCACATAAGCAGGCTTCAGAGATATGACAAACACCTTGCATCCATCATTGACTCCTCGGCCCCACCTCGGTAGGTCAGCCTACATCTAGATCGGCCAGTATCAGGTCGACGTATGAGGTGACTTACCTCTGCCAACTTAGTAGATAAGCGGCCCAGCCTCGGTAGGATGGACTGGAAATAGGTTGGTCGACGACAAGTTGACATAGGAGGTGACCTGACTCCACCAACCTAGTGAAGATTTAGCAGTGGCCTATGTGACGCAACGAACAACCTCCTCCTCAAGCAGGCAGCCACTTCTGCCCTTCTCAGGATCATGATGCCATGTTGTCGGAGCTAACTACTGCCTCGCCCACTTCGAGCGCGATCGGATAATCACTTCCCATTTATGCGGAGTCCACTTTGCACCTCCGAACCAAATGGGCCAAAGATCTCAGACATGCTTCATGGAGTTCACAGAGTGCCCTTCCATAGAAAAGGCACGTGCGATTCAACACTAACAACTCTCTTGCTCTCAAGCTTTTCGATTTTCACAACTCATCGCTGAATTAAGCATTGGAGTGCCCACCCCAAGTAAAGCAACCCAGACACTCTGATCTCTTCTTTTGCAGCTCAGCTAGGCAACCTACTCAATTTGGTGTCCGAGTTGTTTGCCAACAAAGAGCACCAGTCGTGCATCCTAAACTTCTTAATTTTTAAAACAAATGATTAGGTTCAAACCTTTTAGCTCACATTTTCTTTAAAATACGTGCAATAATATGTATAATAAATAATCATTAATTAACAAAGTGATAATTAAGTAATCTATGAAAATAAGATGTCATGAATTCAAATCTTATTAACAATATTTTAAAATTTCACTTATATATGAACCATGGCAATTTCACGTAAACGGGACCAGTTCATCGGTTTTTCATTTAAACTGGCTGATCAACCAGTTTTCAGCAGGTTTTAAACAAGTTTGGTTATTAGGGTACGACCAAACCAGTCAGGGCCCCGAGTCACGGTTCAACCAGTTCAACTGGCCAAATCCTTCCCCTTCTGTTGATTTTGTCAAATTATTAATTTTGTTTGTGTAATAGGATGTGATGTTTGGTGGCACCATTGTTTGTGTAATAGGATATGATGTTTGGTGGCACCAAGACCATGGTGTCAACAATCGAGTGGGTCTGAAATAAAGAGTTCAAGAGAGTAACTGAATAAACTTCGGGTTAACCAGTGAGGGCATCGAAACTCACCCTTGTAAACCTCCCTATAGATGGCCATGATGTTCTGATCATGGAAGGGAAGATAACCATCGAAACAAACAAAATCACTCCGCCAAGAGGATATATATTTTTGGGTCATTGAGATTTAAAAAATAAAAAATAAAAAAGAAAATTGATAAAGTTTAGTAGAGTATTTTGATAATTTAATGCCTTCCGTTGTTTGACTTAACAGCCGAGGGACTAAAGTTGAGGGGATCTTTATGGCAAAAAAAAAAGTACAGGGGGAACTTTGTCACTGACCCCATAGTACATGGGTCTTTGTAATTTATCCTCATAATTTTATATAATATCAGTACCCTACCATTATATCCAGCAATCCAACAGTCTTACAACTGCCAGAAAAAAACGAGATATTTCTTACAAACCAGTCGTGATTTGTCCACTTTTCTTGAACATGTTTTACTTTTCCACACTGCAGTTTTCAGTTCAACGTGTAACACTATTTACAAGACAGAGAGCTCCAAGTTGACAGCGAATCGCTCACACTCCAGCATCAAAGTAGCCTCTTCTCGTTAGATTTCCAAGGAATTTATACTCGCTTCAACAGCATCGCTATTAAACCGTAAAAGCATGAGCCCCACCCAAGAACTGCCACTTTAGATTCGGGAAAACAAAAAAAAACTGACAAACCTGAAATGGCTAATCAGAATAAATGTAAGGAAATAATGTAATATCAACAAGGAAAATTGTGTGCATAGCATAACTGCAACCTGAAAGCCTTTTGAAGCTCCCTGTTCTCAGGATCAAGATCCAAACCATTGGAAAAGGCATCTGCTGCCCTACCGAATTCCTGCAGTAAGTCAGTAATATATAAAACCATCTCTCATTTATTAATATATAATGTGGAAATTTGCCTTAGTTTCTGTGCAAGTTATAAAAAGTCAAATCAGAGTATGAATGCCATATCTTCTCCCTTATACTAATTCCAGAAAATATGCTTCAAGAAATTAATTTTTCCTTGGTACAGACAAAGGGAGTTGACAGCAAAGTTCAAATACCTTCAATAGCATCCATGCTGCACCTTCCCTGTAGTAGGCCTTTGGCCAGTCAGGCCTCAGCATTATACAAGCAGTAGCATCGGATAAAGCACGCTCTCCTTCTTTCAGCCGGGCCCAACACAGACTCCTATTCGACAGTAAAGTTGCACCCAAAGGGTCCGCATTCATGGCCTATTTTCATATCATAAAAAGAAAAGAGAAATAAGAAGATGAAAGGAAACGAAAGGAACGTCAACCCATATAATCCATCAGATCAAAGTTTATACATAGAACAGATTTAGTTGTTTTTTCACTATATAATACTTCTCTTTGGCAACAACTTTTTACCAGATTTCTTCCTTGTAAAATGATCAATAACTTCGTTATTGAGATTTCTGGCTTTGAGAGAGCAAGGGAAGTTGTGAAAAAAACAAGAGGAATAGCAATGCACTATAAATTTTTCAGAAATTTATAGCAGTACCAGCATTGTACATTGGAGGCATAGATGCATTAAGTAAATGCCAGACAAATCATTTACACTATAGTGCATTGCTATTCCACATTGGAGACATAGCTTCTGAGTAGATTGAGCTACATTGACTGCACCACTTCGGAGAAGCTACCTAATACACCAGAAAGTCAATTTTTGAGCACCTATTTTCGGCTTTCCAGTTTTTTTACCAAACCTCGCTTAACGGCTTCCAGGGTTTATCCCGTGTGTAATGTAAGATGAAAACCCTCCCAAACAGGCACTATATACAGATTTTCTTGAATAATTATCTCATTATTTTCATCCTAATAAAACAACTCAAGAAGTCAAGGAAACCATTGAAACCAAGACACAGAAAAATTGAAGGCATGGATATTGGAATTCGTCATGGACTAGGAAATTCTGGATAAGCATGTATTAGGCACAAATTCTGGTAGTTCCCTAGGCGCCTTTAGCTAGGTATGATTAGTAGGTAGGTTACTACTACAAGTGAGTTTCCTGTTCCTAAATTTCAGGCGTCGATTGTATGTGTATATATATGGTTGTGCATTGCATGGTACTTGGACATTGGAAACTCTACCTCCCGGAAAAAGGCAATAGGAAGTAAATGGGTTTATAAGATCAAATATAATTCAGATGGAACGGTTGAACGACATAAGGTTCGGCTAGTTATTCTCGGAAATAGACAGGTTGAGGGGTTAGATTATAATGAGACTTTCGCTCCTGTGGCCAAAATGATGGCAGTCCGCACTTTCTTAGCCGTGGCAGCCGCTAAGAACTGGGAGTTGCATCAAATGGATGTACATAATGCATTCTTACATAGGAATTTGGATGAGGAGGTATACATGCAGTTGCCGCCAGGTTTCGCATCTAAAGATCGAACAAAAGTGTGCAAACTGAAGAAATCTCTCTATGGATTACGTCAGGCTCTCATATGCTGGTTCTCGAAATTAACAGCGGCCTTGATACAATTTGGGTTTGTTCAATCGTATCCTGACTACTCTTTGTTCACTTATTTCAAACACAATGTTCGTCTGCACGTGCTATATATGTTGATGATTTGATTGTTGGGGGAAATGATACTATAGCCATTATGAAATTCAAAGAGTATCTCAGTCGATGCTTCCATATGAAAGATCTGGGTCCACTCAAATATTTCCTAGGTATTGAAGTAGCTCGTGGTCCTGATAGAATATATTTATCTCAACGGAAGTATGCTCTGGACATTATCTTGGAATGTGGACTATTGGGAGCGTCAGTGCCCATTGAACAGAATCATCATCTTGCACTGGCCAAGGGTGCTCTAATGCACAATCCGAATCAGTATCAAAGACTAGTAGGGAGGTTGATATACTTAACCATCACACGACCTGAGTTGTGCTATTGTGTTCATATTCTGGCCCAATTCATGCAAAGCCCGCGGCAAGAACATTGGGAGGCAACTCTGCGTGTAGTGCGATATATGAAAGGATATCCTGGACAAGGTATAGTATTGCATTCCGATAGCGATCTGCGCTTGTATGCTTATTGTGACTCTGATTGGGCAAGCTACCCGTTGTCACAACGATCGTTGACCGGCTATTTCGTTCTGCTGGGGCAGTCACCAGTTTCCTGGAATATGAAAAAACAACACACTGTGTCACGCTCCTCGGCAGAAGCAGGATATCGTTCGATGGCTGCAACATGTTGTGAATTGAAGTGGATGAAGAAACTCCCATTGTCCTTGGGAGTGGCGTATGACGAACTTGCGCGCTTATATTGTGATAACCAGGCGGCCCTGCATATAGCCACGAATCTAGTGTTTCATGAGAGGACAAACCATATTGAAGTCAACTATCATTTTGTTCACAATGAGCTGCGGCATGGGAACATTATTACTTGGCATGAACCACAGAACAGTTGGCTGACATCTTGACAAAGGCTCTTTGTTAGACAGTTTTGTATGCCCTTAGCTTCAATCAGAATGATGTACTTTATGAGTTTATTGTAAATGAATAAAAGTGCATATTTGATTCATGTTCCGTTGGTATGTTTCTGTGTAATACCCTTAAACTAGACATTTAATGAAACTCGTGTTAGTTTGGAATGTTCACAGCCAGTGGGTCGGT